CGAAGGCCTAAATGAAAAAAAGAAACAATTTGTAAGTTTCGCTTATGTCTTGACAAGGTAACAAAGCAAACCCCATATTTTTTGCTTTTAAACTAATAAAGATATATCAATAAACAATTAGCGATGTCCGACTGCCGCCGCCGCGCCGAGATTTCCTATACGTATACGCGTGATGACGTCATGATGTGGCAAATGTAGCATTTTAATTCGATTTGGGCTCCCTTATACATATAGGATAACAGAAACATTTTCAATGTTAAAAAACTTAAATTATAATTGAAAAAATTGCAAATTGTTGGTGGCAAGTTCATTTCGCTCTTAAAAATTAACCAAGCACTGACATGATCCAAAAACAAAATGCTCAGCAGACATGGTTCTGACCATAAAATTATATTTCAGGAAAATTTACACACGAAATTATTGCACAGGGTGTGTCAAATTTAAAAAACAACCCCTCGATTAACCCTATATAATATGCCAAATAATACTATAGTTTATAAAAAACTGAGTTTACAAATTAAAGTTGATATAATTATATACAGCTTGCTAAAAAATTCATGAAAATAGGGCTAAAAATAACAAAAATATAACAGTTTAAATTTGATCAAAATTTTCTCCCTTGCGTTTTTTTGCATTTGAGTGTATCTAGAAACAATCTTTCTTCGAATTTTTAACAAGACGAAAAAGCTAAATTTGAAGAAAATATAAAAAATAAAATACCTGGTGGAACATAGATTATATTTTCTTTCACTTTTGCATTATTCTTTCACATTATTCTTTTTAGTGGAACTACCACTTCTTTTTGGTGGATATACTTATTTTATTTTTGTAGTTTAGAAAGCCTATTACTATTTTTCTCTGAATCTTTGTACGCAGTTATTTCGAAATGAAATATACACTAATGGTACGAAAAACGGATACCGTAAAACTTTGATGTATTTTAAGATTTTATATATATATCGTGTTCTAGTGGACCGATTTTGATGATCCTTTAAGCAATTTGTAGCTTAATTATTTGACCTTTTAGTATCTCTTGCTAAATTAAAAATGGTTCCCATCTGTCAATTATATGAGGGGACACAAAATTATTATTTTGGTGAAAGTTTGGAACGCCCCGTAGAATAATAGAAAGCAAGGAACTTGAAAATCATTTTATCATCTAGTTGCATCTTTTCTCGATAGTTAGTTTTTTGGTTCATCTCAATAGTTTTTTTTGGAGATATTCGCTTTTGAAGAAGACATTTTTTGGTCAATACTAATGGGTCGAGTTTGATTATTTTTTAAGCAATTTTTAGTTATGTTATTTGACTTATTAGTATCATTTTTAAAATTGAAAATGAATGTTTCCATCTGCCGACACGGGGCAAAAAAGTGTTATTTTCGTGAAAGTTTAATGTGTGGAATATGTTCACATCACTGTGGAATATGTTAACAAAGCAAGGAATTATTTTGAAGGAAAACATTATTTTGTCATCTAGGTACGTTTTTTCTCGATAGTTTGTTTTTTGATTCATTTCAATATCTTTATTTTTATATAGATACTAGCGTGTACCAGCGACTTCGTTCGCGTCGAATTAATTATTTGTAATGGTGATGATAAAGCAAAGCAGGAATTTCCATTAACATACAAACTAGATAAAATGTTCTCACATTTATGAGCTCTCACATTTTTCTCACAGTATTCTCGATATTATTATATAACTTGGTAAAATTTGAGAGGTAGTTTCATCTCGTTGGAATTTGACTTTCGAAAAATCCGTTTGCCAAAAATAAGCTTTATACGTCAAGCAGTCAGTTTAAGCAGAATCGTGGTTAAGAAATTACCCAACTTTTTGGAACACCTTGTATGATTTTTTTAAAATTTCAAAATATGTAAAAAAACCAAATAAATTATGCTTGTCCAAGCGTTTTCCCGAAAGACAAACCGTGTTTTAAATAACAAATATTGTAATATTTGAGGGGCGTTTTCACCCTCTTGGAATTTGAGATTCGAGAAACCCCTCCTTATCGAACCTCTACACCCCACAGTCAATCCGTTTTCCAAAAATCACCTTTAAATGTCAAGCAGTTTAAGCAGAATCGTGATTAATCAATGGTCATATTTTATGAAACACTCTGTATAAATTTATAAAAAATCTTAAAATATGTAAAACAACAAAATAAAATATACGTGTTTAAGAATTTTTGCGAAAAACTCACCGGTTATTAAATAAAAAATATTTTAATATTTGAGGGATAGTTTCACCCCCTTAGAATTCGAGTTTCGAAAAATCCCTTCTTATCGAACCTCTGCACCCTAAAGTCAATCTGTTTTCCAAAAATCAACTTTTTATGTCAAGCGCTTTAAGCAGGTTCGTGATTAATCAATGACCAGATTTTTCGAAACACCCTGTATACATTTTTAAAAAATCTTAAAATATGTAAAAAACAAAATAAAATATACGTGTTTAAGGTTTTTTTCAGAAACTTGACCGATTTTTAAATAAAAAATATTGTAATATTTGAGGGGTGCTTTCACCCTCTTGGAACTGGAATTTCGAAAAATCCCTTCTTATCGAACCTCTACACCCTAGAATCAACCTGTATGCCAAAATTGAGCTTCTTACGTTGAGTAGTTTGAGCAGGATCGTGATTAATCAGTATGTCAGTCACTTAAGGATTTTATATATTAGTATAGATATTCGCTTTTGAATAAAACAGTAACGATTTACAGCAATTTTAGCATTGATTTTTAGTCCCCATCAACACACTTATAAAATAGTGTTTGCTATTCTAGTAGAGAAAAAACTCTAGTAGAGATGGTTTTAAGTTCAGAAATATCTGGTATTTATCATTAAAACCATATCTGCTAGAGTAACTGCCCAACAGAGAAGATTTTCCAAGGACAGTGGAATTACATAAATCATAAATACTATTTTATAGGTCTGTTGACTATGACCAAAGACAAAGGCATGATTTTAATGTAAAAAATACGAAAAAATATTAATGTCTTCTTCAAAAGCGAATATCTCCAAAAAAATAAAGCTATTGAAATGAATTAAAAAACAAACAATCGAGAAAAGATACACCTAGATGACAAAATGATTTTTAAATTCCTTGCTTTGTTAACGAACTCCACAGGGTGTTTCGAACTTTTTTTGACACCAAAATATCAATATTTTGTTTTCCCTCGTATGATTGACATATGGCAACTTACATTTTTAATTTAGAAAGGGATACAAACGAGTCAAATAAATTAGCTACAAATTGCTTAAAAAATCACTAAAATCGGTCTACTAGAACACAATATACAGGGTGGACCACTGAAAACTTACAATGGCTATAATTTTTAAACCAAAAAAAATATCAAAAAAATAAAAAATACCGATCCAATGATATCGAAGGGGAATAAAATATGACGTATTTTTTGAACCACCCCGACCTACCGCTTAGACGGCACCCCTACTTGAAAAATGCTAAACGACGATCATAACGTTTTTAGGGTGAAATTGAAAAACTACCCCTTACACGAAAAATTAGGTGGACATTAATAAAAAAAGTATTTTTTTCAGCATAAGTTACAATTTGGGACCCAGCTAAATGAGGCAAATGAGGCATTTTTTAAACCACCCCTAGGTGCCATCCCCTCACTTATAATCTCATCAATGCTATTTTTAAATGTAGATAATAAAAAAGGCAACACAAAGATGTTTTTACAGCCTAATTTTGCGATAACGCAAATTCTTCCTTATCATCTATTTTTTTACTTTCAACAAACAGGTATCTTAAACTGGCATATCTTTGCGTTTTTGCACTGTCTTCTATCGATTTTCAATCGTTTGCAAATTTGGTGGTATTTTAAACGTTTATTTGATTCGCTTATTTGAAAGAAAAATGGTTTATACTGTGGAAGAAAGAATTCAAATAGTTTTTCTTTATGGTGCTGAAGGTATGTGTTATTTGAGAACAGCCCGTGCTTTCAATGAAAGAAATCCGGACAAAAACGTAAGTCACACAAGAAACTGGGTCGATCAAAAATAAAACAAGGACAGGGCCCAGGGTACTGAATGAAGAAATGCAGATGGAAGTTATTGGTCAGGTATCGGTCAATCCAGAAGCATCAACACGCCAGTTGGCATCAATCACAGGTATACCTCGAACATCTGTCAGGAGAGTATTGAAAATGCACAAATTCCATCCCTACAAAATGAAGATTCTGCAGGAACTTGGCGACGACGATCCAGATAGAAGGATTCAGTTCTGTGAACTAATCACGGAGGAAATTCGAAGGAAACCTTCACTTACTAAAAATATTTGTTTTAGTGATGAGTGCTCATTTTTTTTAAACGGAATTGTGAATAAGCAGAACTGCAGACACTGGAGCGATGAGAATCCGCATATGGTTGTTGAAGGACACACCCAACATCCCCAAAAGTTTAATATTTGGTGCGGAATACTAGGCGATAAAATTATAGGTCCATTTTTCATCGACGGAAATTTGACTGGTGATGCTTACCTGGAAATGCTGAACAATTTGATAGAGCCAGCCATTATAAATGAGGTTGAAAATCAAAGAAATTTGGAAGGAAATTTAACTCTTAATGAAGACCTCATACACTTTCAGCAAGATGGAACCCCTCCGCATTATTCTATTGTCACAAGGCGGTGGTTGGATAGATATTATCCAAGGCAATGGATTGGCAGAAGGGGTCCAATCGAGTGGCCGACAAGGTCCCCTGATCTCACTCCTTTAGACTTTTTCTTGTGGGGTTACACTAAATCCATAGTCTACAAGACAAAACCAGGTTCGTTGCAAGAATTGCGGCAGAGGATAACTCGACATAATAAAAGCATGTCGAAATATTCCGAGCGAGACTTTCCAAAAAGTGAAAGAAGAATTTGAAAATCGTTTGTATTTTTGTATGAAACAAAACGGCTGTCATTTTGAGCAATTGTTAAAATAAATTATCATTTTAAATTTCTTTCAAATTGTCAGACCTACATTTCTTATCACTACTTACCAGTAATTGTTGAAAGAAGACAGAAGTTGAAATCTGTATGACCATTGTTTAGCAATTTCAATTAGCTTTCCAAAGAAGTGTCACAAGTGGGGTATCGCTATCTTGAGATTAGAAGTGAGTGGCTGGCACCTAGGGGTGGGTCGGGGTGGTTTGAAAAATACCTCATTTGCCTCATTAAGCTGGGTCCCAATTTGTAACTTATGCTGAAAAAATCACTTTTTTCATTAATGTCCACCTAATTTTTCGTGTAATTAATTAGTTGTAATTTCTTTATGATCATCGTTTAGCATTTTTCATGGGCTTTCCAAAAAGGTGCCACAAGTGGGGTGTTGCCATTTAAGATTTTCAAGTGAGTAGGGGTGCCGCCTAAGGGGTAGGTCGGGGTGGTTCAAAAAATACATCATATGTATTCCCCCTCGATATTACAGAAACGGTATATTTTATTTTTTTGATATCTTTTTTGGTTTAAGAATTATAGCCATTGTAAGTTTTCAGTGGCCCACCCTGTATATATAAAACTAAAAAATACATGAAAATTTTAAGGTGCCTATTGTTCGTGCCGGTAAGTGTATTAACTCTTTTATTAGAAATATCGTTATTTGATCGTATTAAGTATAAGCCATACATATTACCATGCACTCTATTACATAGTTATTTCTTTCAATTTATCGTTTCTGTTGGGTAGGCACACTAGGCACACGCCTCTGTGCCCTTTAGCACCAACCGCCACTAAAAATTCGAACACCCCCTTTTAAATCTTTCCTTCATCGTTTTATGGGATATATTTTAGGAATAGAATAATGGCCCCCATAGTCATATAAAAATAGATCCCTTATTTTCCTATCGAGGAAGGCGCTAGTAAAACTGTCAGTCTGCATTTACAAAATTCCATCCATTGCCACTAAAATTTGTTTACGCTACGGTTTCAGCGCGACGCACGATTTGAGCTAATTACAGTTTACACACACATACACCACCACCCACAAAGAATTTCCTAAATAAAACCGTTTTCCTATCTCTCTTGTTATGTTTTACAAAAATAAACTGTAGAGTTGTATTTCCGTTCCTTCAGGCTTCCCACGCAGATGTTCAAATATAAACTTCGGTTATATTAAAATAGAAAGAAAAATGGTTTATAGATCTTTTTTAAGTTAATTTTAAATATATTACTCTGAATCTCAGAGAAATAAGTAAATTATGAAACGACCCTAACATACATATGTATATGATTAAGCATTGGGATATAAAAATTTAAAACTTGTTTAGACTGACTTGTTCTACAGGAAGGTCAGAATTGTATTCGGTAAACTTCGGCAGCATATTCTGTAGATTTACAGGGTGGTACGAACTGTATTTCGAAAATAAGTAAAAAAGTTCTATGTCCGTCATTTTTATATCGATTTTTTCCAAATAATTTCTGAAGTAACATCAATAGGTATTTGGATGAAAATTGGTGTAGAACTTTTTAAATTTTTCTTCGAAAAAAATATGATAAAACCAGTTTCTGTTGAACTTTTGGCACAAAAACATTCCAAATTTATAATATCAATCTAATAACTATTTAGTCAAGGTATGTTTAATTTATGTCAAAGATGACAGGTGTTGATAATTTAGATTCCAAATCTCTCCAGAACCATTACTCGTAGCGATTTTTACGAAGAGACCTTTTTTTACGTAGAAAACTTAGTAAATATATATTTTTTTACTCGGTAGTTTTATACAGGTACGGACGAAAAGTTATTACTTTCCAAACCATTATAAAAATGTGTAGATGGCGCCCCCTACAAGTAGGAGTCATATTGACATCAAAATCAAATTTCTCATGTCAAAAAACTCTCTCTCAAACACCAATTTTCATCCAAATAGTGACGTTACTTCATGAAACTTCTTCTTTTTGTTTTATGATGGCTCTGCTACAAGGCAATCGCCAGTTCAAAAAATGAAACTTTTAGAACCTGTATCCCCGAAACTAGGCATTTTAGAACATACATTTATACGAACTTTTTACTAACTAATCTGCAGAATAACCTGCCGACTTTGAATAAGAAGACTGAGGAAGGAGCATAATGCTATCCATGTATTCATGCATGGTGGGCGGAAAAGTCACCATAAAAGCTCTCTAGGGTGGGGATCCTTGACAGTTCTGTTTGACGATTCATTTGACACATTTGAATTTGATTTGAAATTTTGTGGATTTGTTAGTCTTTACGGAGCTTATTTTATGTTATTTATTATTTATTCTACTACTGATAGTTGTATAAAGGTAGTAAATCTAGATGGAAATTGTGGCAGAACTTAAATTAACAGTGACACTATCGCGATTTATACTGCATAAAATTACTGACATTTTCGTAATTTTTACTTAAACAAGATCTCTTGGTAAAAATCACTACGAGCAACCGTTCTCAAGATATTCAATAATGTTTTGCTGACTGCCTTATCTTGCCTTATAAATATCATATAATATAAAGTGATTAAATTTTCAGGGTTATTTTTTCAGAGTTTCAGGTTCTCTTTAATATTTTAGGTTGTACCTGCATTAACTGACACAGTATAATTCGGTTTTCAAAGAATTTAGATACGTTAATTTGACTTACCTGCTTCAGTAGCGTATCGGATGTTTGTGTTAATAAATACTTATTATAACTTATCTATTTTTATTAGAATTATATATTTTTATAACAATTTTAGTAACTACCAACATTTATTCACAACGTAAAATAAAACAACAAATTATTGAGTCTACCCCAAAGTTTTGGTCTAGTTGTCAAAATGTTGGTGATCCGTCAAATTATTTTTAAATAATTATTAATTCAGATATTCCTGATTTGCCGGAAAGTTCGGTGATTTGTGTTTATAGTTTGTGTTTTTATTCATTTGTGCATTTTGATATTTACAGTCGATCATTATTTTCGTGTTAGATACTAAACATTTTTATTAAAGACATTTTACACAACTTAGAAATAATACATTTATGAACAAACTAAAAAAAATGTTTAATCATAAATAAGTAAGTACATAGTTGGTAATATAGTATTTTTAGTAATAGTTAATTAGTAGTCTATAGTATATTATAATTTATTTGTTAAATCAAAAAAATAGGCGGTTTGTGCTCTATTGTTCGTGTTTAAAATGTATGTTTTCATAATTTTATTTTTAGTTTTGAATGTGTTACACTTCTAGTGATCTAATAAAACATAAAATATACTAAACAAGTCTATTTATTATTTTCTATTTTACAAGGAATAATTTTGCGCTTGAATAACGTTACCGTTTTAGTTAGCGTTAATAAATAACGGAACGCTAAAATTATGTTATGCTAAAACTCTCAATTAGTTTCTTCCGGATCACCAGGTGGCTCTAAATGATGGACTTATTTGTTTTATATCAGTGTCCAATCTATCTCTAGTAGGTGACATTAGTCTATGACGGTTGACGGTCACACTTTAACCGTAGAGTTGGCAAGGTTTGTTGCAATTTTTTTTTCTGAAGTAGCCGTAAAGTCTAGAGTGAGTAGAAATTGGTTGGGTACCCCAGCTTAATGATTTTAAAAGGGGTCGAATTATCGGTATGGGAAATTTCCAGAAGAACTAACAGACCTTTAAGCGCCATAATACGGTGTTGACGGGCGGAGAATTACGGGCGTAGACGTCGCAGAGATTGTCGATTGCGGTTCAAGATTGTCGATTGGAAATTTTCGCTCTTAGAAAGAATCGAATTGCCAACACCCGCGCCATTGCTAAGTGGTGATGGTTGTGGTTTGAAGTATATATTAGGCCAATTAGTATGCGTACAGTATATCGCCGAATCCGAAATTTTGACTCTTTTTCTTATCGTCCGCCTTGGGTGCTTAACCTAACCTATAACCTCTTACTCCTGAACAAAAGGTGTAACCATCTGGAGTGGTGAAGGGAGATAATTCAATGGGATTAGGAATGGAATCATGTGGTCTTTAGTGACAAATCTGGTTTCTGTTTGCGGATGCATGCTAGCCAGGTAAAAGTAAAAAGAAAAAATTCTTGCAAAAATTATGTCAAACCGCCTGCACCCACATATAGAAAAAATCCTTCCAGAATCGCAAACGGGTTTTCGCACTAACCGCGGCACCGTCGATTCCATATTTTCCATCCGCCAACTACAGGAAAAAGTAAAAGAACAGCAGTCTAAACTTTATGTTACCTTCATCGACCTAACAAAAGCCTTCGACTCTGTGAACAGAGATGCACTTTGGGCAATTATGAAAAAGTTCGGAGTACCCAACAAATTTCTTACAGTGTGTAAAAGCCTCCATAACAACAACCAGTCAAGAGTGTCACATCATGGATCACTAAGCGATCCCTTCCTGACAAATACAGGAGTTAGGCAAGGATGTGTCTTAGCGCCTCTCCTATTCAACATATTCATGGCAGCGCTCTCCATTATAGTGGACAGCAAACTGCAGGAGAGAGGATTGGGCATTAGATACAGATATGATGGCGGTCTGTTCAACATAAAAAGACTCAGGGCAAAAACACGTACAAAATTCATCACAGAACTTCAATACGCTGACGATTGCGCTCTAGTTGCAAAAACTGTACAGCAATTACAAGAAATGTTGAACACATATACCTGGGCATACGAGGCTTTGGGCCTTAAGCTAAACATCGACAAAACTAAAATCATGTGCACTCCCCCGGAAGATCACAACAATGCTATAAAAATCGGAGAAGAACTACTGGAATATGTAGCGGAATTCAATTATCTCGGCAGTTTGATTTCGGAAAAGGCCAATATCGACTCTGAAATTCAGCACAGGATTAGCAGCGCTTCAAGAGCATTCTGGAAATTAAAAGACAGGGTTTTTTACAACCATGACCTGAGCACAAAAACGAAACTTGCAGTGTACCGAGCAATAATAATCCCCACTATGTTATATGGGAGCGAAACCTGGGTGCCGTACCGCCGACACATGAACGCATTAAAAAAGCTGCAACAGAGACACCTTAGACAACTCTTAAGAATCAAATGGTTCCATCACGTCTCAAACGTATCGGTTCTTGAAAAAGCTAACTGCGAGAGTATTGAAGTCATGGTTACAAAATCCCGACTAAGATGGGCTGGTCACGTATGCAGAA